GTTTTTTTGAAAACATTAGGAACTGTGATACATAAAAATATTTGGGGTCGTGACATAAACATGTACCTGGATGGCCATGGGACCGTCCTCCGGAAGATCCGGAACAACCGTAAAAGTAGTAAATCCACGATCCTGATCCTAGAGCTCCACGTTTTTTTTATAAACATTAGGAACTGTGATGATAGAAAGAATTTGGGCTTGTTACATAAACATGAACCTGGATGACCATAGGACCGTCCTCCGGAAGATCGAGAACATCCGTAAAAGTGATCAATCCATGAAACTGATCCTAGAGCTACGCGTTTTTTAACATAATGATCTGTGATATAAGAATGAATTTGGGTCATGGACCTTGATGGCCATGAGACCGTCCTCCGGAAGATCCGGAACATCCGTAAAAGTGGTAAATCCACTCTCCTGATCCTAGAGCTCCGCGTTTTTTTTAAACATTAAGAACTGTGATGATAGAAAGAATTTGGGGTTGTGACATAAACATGAACCTGGATGTCCATAGGACCATCCTCCGGAAGATCCGGAACATCCGTGAAAGTGGTCGAACAATGAAACTGATCCTAGAGCTCCGCAGCTTTTGAAAAAAAAACACTAAGAACTGAGATGATAGAATGAATTTGGGGTCGTGACATAAACATGAACCTGGATGTCCATGGGACCGTCCTCCGAAAGATCCGGAACATCCGTGAAAGTGGAAAATTCACGAAACTGATCCTAGAGCTCCGTGATTTTCTTGAAAACGTTAGGAGCTGCGATATTAGAATGAATTTGGGATCGTGACATAAACATGGACCCAGATAGCCACCGGAACGTCCTCCGCAAGATCGGAAAATCCCGTAAAAGTGGTCATTGTATGGAACTGATCCTAGAGCTGCACGGTTTTTTTTTCGAAAACACTTGGAACTGTCATATTTAAATTAATTTGCAGTCGTGACATAAACATGTACCTAGAAGACAATGGCACCATCCTCCGCAAGATCTAGAACATCTTTTAAAATGGTCAATCCTTAAAACTGATCCTAGAGTTCTACGGTTTTTTCGAAAGCATGTGGAACTGCGATATAAGAAAGAATTCGGGGTCATGACATAAACACGTACCGGAGACGAACCAGCCCAGGGCTGAAAGTCTCCTTAATAAAGATAAAAAACACGGACCAGGATGGCCATAGGACCGTCCTCCGGAAGATACGGGACATCCGTAAAAGTGATCCAGAGGTTTCTTATATCACAGTGTTTTAAAAAGAGCTGGAGAGCTCTAGGATCAGTTTCACAGTATGATAAATTTACGGATGTTCCGGATCTTTTGGAGGACAGTCTCATGGCCATCCGGATCCATGTTTATGTCACGACCCTAAATTCTATCTTAAATCGCAGTTCCAAGAGTTTCGAAAAAAAACCACGGTTTTTTCACAGTTTCATCGATGAGCCACTTTTACGAACGATCAAGATCTTCTGGAGGACGTGCCAATGGCCATCCAGGTTCATATTGATGTCTCAACCCTAATTTCTTTCATATATCACAGTTAGAAGTGTTTTCGACAAAACTACGGAGCTCTAGAAACAGTATCATGGATGGACCATTTTAACGGATCTTCCGGATCCATGGTCATTCGGTTCCATGTTTATGTTAAGACTCCAAATTCATTCTAATATCACAGTTCCACGGTTTTTCGTTCTTGGATCAATTTTATGGCTTGTTCTTGGTTCATTCGCTTCCTCCACGTTCCGTCATCCAAGGGCGCGTTTATCCTCCACGAGCATAGTCACGGTCTCGTGGCTGTAGACGACCACCGGTCTAATCAGCGTCTTTTAGATAGTCAACTTCGTGGCGAATTTTATTCGACCGGAGCGTCCTCGAGAGTCCAAAGTAGGCACGATTCCCTGCCATAATGCGTCTTTGAAATTCTCTGCTGGTATCATTTTCGACGGTCACCAGTGAGCCCAAATACACGAACTCATCGACCACCTCGATTTCGTCACCGTCAATCTGAACTCGGGGTGGGAGGCTAACATTGTCTTCCCTAGAACCTCGTCCTTTCATGTATTTTTTGTTTAATGCGTTGATGGCAAGTCTAATCCACCTAGCTTCAGCCTTCAGTCTGATGTACGGTTCCGCCTTCGTCTCAAAGTTCCGTGCCATGATGTCGATGTCATCGGCGAAGCCAAGAAGCTGGATGGACTTCCTGATGATCGTGCCACTCGTGTTTATCCCTGCTTTTCTGATCACACATTCTAACGCAATGTTGAATAGCAGACACGAAAGTCCATCACCTTGCCGTAACCCCCTTCGAAATTCAAAGGGACTCGAGAGTGTCCCCGATACTCGAACAACGCACATCACTCGATCCATCGTTGCCTTGACGCGATTAGTTTATCTGGAAATCCGTACTCGTGCATAATCTGCCATAGCTGATCACGATCGATTGTGTCGTATGCGGATTTGAAATCGATGAACAAATGATGTGTAAGCAAGTTGTATTTGTGGCATTTCTGCAGAACCTGCCGAATCGCGAATATGAACCCATGAATCCCTGCTGGTATTGCCCAAGAAATCTCTTGCAAATGGTGACAGGCGGCGGCGTATAATTTGGGAGAGTACCTTGTAAGCGGCGCTCAGCAGTGTGATCGCACGGTAGTTGCAGCAATCCAACTTGTCGCCCTTTTTGTAGATTGGGCATACGACACCTTCCATCCACTCCTCCGGTAATATCTCCTCCTCCCAAATCTTGGCAATTACCCAGTGCAGCGCTCTAGCCAGTGCTTCACCACCGTATTTTAATAGCTCACTTGGTTGTTGATCTACACCAGTTGCCTTGTTGTTCTTTAGTCGACCGATCTCCTCCTCAACTTCTTGAAGATCAGAGGCCAGTAGCCTGTCGTCTTCTGCACGTGCTCCAAGGTCTGTTGCCGTGCCACCTTCGTTTTCTGCTGCATCACCGTTCAGGTGTTCGTCATAGTAATGCTTCCACCTCTCAATTTTATCGAGTGACCATTTTACGGATGTTGTTGATCTTCCGGACGACGGTCCCATGGCTATCTATCATGTTTCAGTCACGATCACAAATTCATTCTTATATCACAGTTCCTAATGTTTTTGGAAAAAAAAACTGAGGAGCTCTAGGATCAGTTGCATTGATTAACCTCATTTACGGATGTTCTGGACTTACCAGCGGATGGCCCCATGGCCATTTGGGTCCATGTTTATGTCATGACCCCAAAATATTTCTTATATCGCAGTTCCACATGCTTTCGAAAAAAAAACCGTAGAACTCTAGGATCAGTTTCGAGGATTGACCATTTTTAAAGATGTTCTAGATCTTTCGGAGGACGGTCCAATGGCCTTCTGGGTACATGTTTATGTCACGGCTGCAAATTAATTTATATATGACAGTTCCAAGTGTTTTCGAAAAAAAAAACCGTGCAGCTCTAGGATCAGTTCCATACATTGACCACTTTTACGGATTTTTCGGATCTTCCGGAGGACGTTTCGATGGCCATGTTGGTCCATGTTTATGTCACGATCCCAAAATCATTCTAATATCGCAGTTCCTAACGTTTTCAAGAAAACCACGGAGCTCTAGGATCAGTTTCGTGAATTTTCCCATTTCACGGATGTTCTGGATCTTCCAGAGGACGGTTTCATGGACATCCAGGTTCATGTTTATGTCACAAGCCCAAATTCTTTCTATCATCACAGTTCTTAATGTGCACAATTCTTGAAATTCATTAAGAAATTGCTAAGTAGAGCCATTCTAAACTTGCCGTTACACGTTTTTCGGAGGCATCGTATTCGGAGTGTTAAAGCGCACAACAACATAATATTGATAAACAAATTTGATATTAATTTGCTCTGGCTTTGCTAGTTCTTTCTACTCGGGTTGACAAAAAAATAGTTTTATTTATTTGGTTTTTTATTATCGATGATATATCGAGACTATCAGTAAAATTTGCTAAAATTACACTGGGTTAAGTTTGGATTAAATTCTGTTGTGTACTGATGGCTTTTTGATGCATTCACACAAAAAAAAACAGCACCACGGAAGAAATGCGTTTATGCGTTTTCCTATGGGAACTTCTAATTGAATCTGACCGGCTTGCACATAGAACATTTCCATTTTATCCCATCAGAAGAGTGTTTATTGACCGTTTTTAACGTTATTTCACTTAGCAAGGTTGAATGGAACAAAAACAGGTTTTCAATTCGGAATAAATTTAAATTTAATGAATTAAAATCAACGAGAGGCTACGCCTACAGTACAGTTCGCGTCCACTCGAAATCAACAATTCTTCTTGCGCTAAACGACATATGTCATCAGCGAATGTCGATGCAGTTCTGATGCAAGCAACAGTGCATTTGCTTTTTATATATTGAGGCGGGTGCATGAAATGGAAATAAATACATCAGATCCAGCATCACGCAGAAATAGCCAGAATGCTCTTCATATATGATGTACTTCAGCTCTCGTTAGTGAAAGGTTCAAGAGCTTTTTCATCCGAAAATAAGCACTCAGAAAACTCAAATCAGAACGCTTGCACAAGATATGTTTTGGAAGTACTTGGCAAATTTGTCGGAAAATCAATGTATGAAGAACTATCGTTGCTTATTTGAAGAAATTCGGAGAAACGTTGGCCAAAATTTGTATATCACTCAGTACTTAATTTTTCATGCAATCGAAACAAATCCATAACTTCTCTACGCCCTGTACCGTAATGTGTACAACCAAGCACGTGAATTCGAAGTGAAAGTTGTTGTCGTTCTACTCGTCGCTGAACTAATTTAACAGTTTCTATGAAATGCTACAGCAAACAAACCCAGCCTAGAATCGATGCTGTTTCCCCGTACGCACATGGTTGTGTCGCATGATAAATGGAACAAAAAAAGAGTGTTTTTACAACTAATTCATCGAATATATTGAACTGTTACCACGGGTTCGATTCAGTGAGTTTGATGTTATCGGATGAGGTGGCAGTATATGGAAATAGAAGCCATGTTGAAAGCTTTGTTTTTGCTTATTTTAGTGATTGTTTATGAAGGATCGTGTAGTTCCATCACAAGAGACGACAATTTCGATGGGTATGGTCAAAATAGCACCGCCAGCCAGCAACCATTGTCAAGAAAAAAGAGATTTTTACTATTTCCTGTCGGTGCAAGTTTGTTGGTAAGTGATCACTTGTTTTAATCTGCATCTATTGGATTTGTAAAGTTGATTATTTCGTCAGTTAACGGCATCTGGTGGAAAAGCTTTTATAGTCAATATACCAGGACACAATTTTATTCTGGAGCTGGATTTGTACCATCCTCTTCCCGATTATAAGATGCGTTTATCATCCTTACAATTGGGAGCATTCGGTATGAAAACGTTGAAGACGCTTATACCGAAACCAGCACCATCGCCACCAACACCACCGCCTCATGATCACCACAATGGCCATGAATTATCCCAGATGGAACTACAGCAATACTTGAAGGATCATCCCGATACGTGGGTTCCTCCAGGGTACGGCAACGATCGATCAGACTGGTTTCAACAGGGTACTTACAATCCTTATAAAAACGACTATAAGCAGAGCATGACTACTAACCCGTCATATGGAGCTCAAAAATATAAACCATACAAAAGTTATTTGTGGGGCAACGCACCATCAAATTCAAACCATCCCAATCTCTACCGTATGAGGAGATCAATAGATGAATCTGTTCACGATGACACTGAAGAAGAGGAAGATCGGTTCAACATTAGTCATCATCGCAACTGGGAACATTTCTATCACTATCGGGAAAAACGAGACTTGTACCACTCATTGGAACATGCATTTGGAGAAAGGTAAGCCTTCTTAAAAAAAAAATCGTTCACAATTCATCCTATCATAACTGTTTCCTTTCGGTAGTTACCGTTTCAACATGAAGGCATGTATTATGCGAGCCATTTGTGAAGCACGAAGTTTTCTTCTGCCACCAGGAAAATCCATGATGATGGACATTTTAAGAATAGTCTTCAGGTAAGCTCAGAAGATAAGGTTGTGCATTTTGGCTGGATAAGCCTAATTTCTTCTTTGGATTCTTCCAGTGTGCCATTGAAGGATGACCTGCAAGATGAATACAGTTCAGCAATGAGAGAGAAGAATCTGGATTGTCATTACCTTTACGGCAAGGACTGTTCTGTCAGTATTCTGTACTTAGTTCTGTTTGGAAAATTTATTCCCTGACCTAAAGAAATACACAACCGAATATATGAAATTTCGAACATGTTTCTACTATCTCCTTGAACTGTTAAAAATCATTATCAAAGGTCGACGACTTCGTCCGGATACTGCGATAAATATTATCTTCGTTAGTCGCTCTTTCGGCGCAGGTTGCATTCCGAGTGCACCACATTATTGATTCTACGTGCTACAAAACGTAATCCATCCGACGGTTAATAATTGTATTTATCAATTTGCCTCCGGTATTAAATGTAGCACTAAACGTTCTTAAACTCCGAACGATCCTCAGTCTGTCTCCTCAAACGTATTCTATGCGTGACCATAAAACGCAACTTCATTAAAGCATTGTAACAACATGAAGGTTTTTGTGAAAAATTCGCATTTGCAACCAATTCTCGTTTCAAATGCAAATTAATGGAAAATGTTTTACTTATTCAGTGCCAGAACATTATAAACAGCTGAAATCTTTCCGTCATTTGAACCAATACATATCAGTTGCTAGTAAACAATTTTTTTGGTATTTTCAGGAACTTTTGAATAAGCTAAAGGGTGGAACGGTCAAAAATTGGCCGTGATTATGTGCACACTGATGATTATGTTGCTATATAGATGATCAAACTTTATTATATTTTGAAGTTCAATGACTACAAAATACATCTGACAAATTTCTGACACAATCAATCTGCGTAGGAATAAATTGGATTTCGCTTATGAGCGAGCAACATTTTGATACGCTGTTTCTCTTGCTTCGACGCTATCTTGACAACTGAATGGAAAATGGCAAAAACAAAATAAAGGCAACATTACGTACGCACAGACCTACAAAATGAGAGGTGTTCAAGTTTATTAAATGTACGATTAAAAAAAATCGCCAAATTTGAGTCGACCAATTTTTGACCGTTCCACCCTTTGATATACCATATGTCCTCTAAATTCACAATTTAATGTTTAACATGTTTGAAATTCAACATTCACATTCACACCACATTCAGAATGAAGATAGGTTTAAAAATTCAAAATATCCATGCATAGGCAGAACATTCAACGTATTCTACAAGTTTTACGGAAACTGGTAAACAAAATAACTTTTAATGAAGAGCATTGAACAACTATGCCGAACACAGTAACTTCCTAGGTGGCCACTGAATTTTCTGCATTTTGGTCGACTTTCTCGATATAAATATCAATTATTTCCCGGTTTCAAAAGTGACAAGGTGCAAATTTTTCTGGTTTAATTTTTAACATTTCATCTTCACTTGCAACGCTGCAGGGACTATTTTTGCGTAAAGCTGAAAGTACATTTCAACTTAATAGTTCAACTACAACCACTCACCACTTTACAGTGTAGAACATTATATGTTAATAATATATTAATAATTATGAAGTCATAAATTAGGGTGAATAATCTATGAAGAATACCATAAAACTCTAGAAACTTTTTATCTAAAGTATTTTAAAAGCTGTACGCAGCTTGGAGCCTCTGATAGCCTAGCTAAAACACGAGATTATTAAGCTAACCAGCGATGGCGAGTTCATCAATTATTAACGATTATTTGGTATAACTTTCTGCTTGGTTGATTGCATATGTTTGAAGTTTGATCGATTTAAGGAAATCTCCTTTTTCCAAAATAACTACTTTTTCTTATGAAGTAATGAATTTGGGTGAAAATAAATTAAAAAGGCTATCGTCCATTTAATTCCACTTAATTGTCAATGACTTCATTTAATGTCAATTCATTGTGGTATCTATTTTTTTATAATTACTTTATTTGTACAGGCTCAATCGAATAAACTTTACAAAGCCGAGTTATCCTTTGCGTTATACATTATTACTGTCTTAAATTTAAAGTTAAAGGAACTGGACCGAGTACTCGCGGTTGTCTCGAGGCTAGTGGAGATTTACAATTTTTTGGATGGGAAAAGGGAAGAAGGAGGTTTGAAATGTGGTTTACGATGCAACTATTTAATTAATCCTACAGCATGAAATTATTTCTATTCATCTTGAAAACAAACATTGAAAAAAAAACCCCACACGTACAAAATACAAACTAAACACAAGGTTAATCAAACTTACAATCTTAGGTTAATATCCTTAATGTAAACATATATGAGTTTCATAAACTCCAGATCGTGTCTAGCCAAAATATCCTGAAATGGAAAATTAGGTTGTCAACCTCGAGCCCGAAGGGAATCATAAAAATGTAATCTGACTCCACGATACTCCGCACAAGACCAAAGGATGTGATCAGCGTCCTGGTAATGTTGTCCACATTCACAGAGATTGCTGTCTCCCAACCCCACACGGAACAAGTGAGCGTTCAGACAATAGTGATTGGACATGAGACGAGACATCACGCGTATTAAGTCTCGACCCAAATCCAACCCTTTGAACCATGCAAACTTCGACACCTTAGGGATAATTGAATGTAGCCATCGTCCCAAGCTCCCTTCACTCCATGGATGTTGCCAACTAACGAGTGACTGCTGACGATAGAGAAAAATTCACTATAGGCGATTTGTCGATCATAAATGTCGCCTTCCATAGCGCCCACCTTCGCAAGTGAATCCGCCTTATCATTTCCTAAAATTGAGCAATGCGAAGGGACCCACGCGAAGGTGATGATGAAAGAGCGCGCGGATAAAGCACTAAGCAGCTCTCGTATTTTCAAGAGAAAATACGAGAAGTGCTAGTGCTTAGAATGGAACGGATAGCCTCGACAGAACTGAGACTATCCGTAAAAATAAAGTAGTGGTCTGGAAGAAGTGAAGCAATAGTTTCCAAAGTGTAGTGAATTGCTGCCAGTTCAGCCACATATACAGAACAAGAAGCTTCAAGTTTTCGAGAGGCGCTATGAAATTCATTAAATACATCAAAACCAGCGGACTCCTCTATTAGAGATCCATCTGTGAAAAACGTTTTATCAGAATCAACATGGCCAAACTTTGCAGAGTATAATGACAGAGCAATCATAGGACGATGATGCACTGAATTGCCGAAATCGGAGAAGATTACACGATTGGGAATATTTCTTGAAGGGCTGACATCCTGTGTTAAATATAGGTAGTACAAAGTCATAAAACATGTTTGAGGATTTAGCTCCAGAAGCTTCTCAAAGTTTTCGATCACCAGTGGGTTCATTACTTCGCAACGGGTGAGGAGCCTCAGAGATAACTCTGAAAAACAGACGGATAGTGGCAACATGCCCGCCAGTACTTCGAGACTCATAGTATGAGTCGAGTGCATGCATCCTAACGCGATACGAAGACAACGATACTGGATCCGTTCCAGCTTAATGATGAGCGTATTAGCTGCCGACTGGAAACAAAAACTTCCATATTCTAGAACCGATAAAATCGTTGTGCGGTACAACGTCAGAAGATCTTGTGGATGGGCTCCCCGCCACGTTCCGGTAATTGATCGAAGGAAATTGATCCTTAGTTGGCATTTTCATCCCAGATACTCAATGTGGAATCTCCAGGTGCATTTGGAATCGAACCAGACCCCGAGATATTTGAAAGACATGGAATGAGTGATCGGCTTACCCGAAAGTTGAAGCTTCGGTTGTGCTTGGGCTATGCTTCCTAGAAAAAACGACCAACTCAGTTTTCTCCGTGGAGAATTCGATACCTAGCTGAATAGCCCAAGTAGACAAATTGTCCAAGGTATCCTGTGAGGGTCCTTGCAGGTCAACCTCTTTTGGCCCTGTGTGACCCTGTGACACTACGCCGTCATCTGCAAGTTGTCTCAACGTACAATTGTCACTAAGACAGACATCAATTTCTCTAACGTAGAAATTGTACAAAAGGGGGCTTAAACATGAGCCTTGGAGGAGACCCATGTAGCTAAATCGAAAAGCTGTAGAGTTTCCATGAGAAAAGCTCATATGTTTTTCTGACAGCAAATTGTACAAAAAATTATTCATTAATGGAGACAATCCACAAGCGTGGAGTTTCTCTGAAAGAACTTCAACGGATACTGAATCAAAAGCCCCCTTGATATCCAAGAACACAGAAGCCATTTTCTCTTTCTTAGCAAAAGCCAACTGAATTTCCGAGGAAAGCAACGCGAGACAGTCGTTCGTTCCCTTACCCCTACGGAAACCAAATTGAGTATCTGAAAGAAGGTGGTTCGTCTCAACCCATTTGTCGAGGCGAAGAAGGATCATTTTCTCCAACAATTTCCGAATACACGACAGCATCGCGATGGGCCGATACGAATTGTGATCCGACGCGGGTTTATCAGGCTTTTTAATGGCTATCACCCTCACTCGTCTCCAATCGTCGGGAACAATATTGAGCTCCAAGAACTGATTGTACAAGTTCAACATGCGCCTCTTAGCGACGTCTGGGAGGTTTTTCAGCAAGTTCAACTTGATTCTATCAGATCCCAGGGCAGAATTGCCACACGAAAGGAGAGCGAGTGAAAGTTCCACCATTGAAAAAGGCTGACTGATTTCGTCTACCGAATTCGCGGTTTCGCGAGGAATCAACTGCGACGGCACGGAATCCGGACACACTTTTCGCGCGAATTTAAGAATCCATCGATCCGAGTATTCCTCGCTTTCGTTGTTAGTAGACCGGTTACGCATTCTTCGCGCCGTACTCCAAAGCGTATTCATAGACGTTTCGTGTGACAATCCGTCTACAAACTGCCGCCAGTAACCCCGTTTTTTGGCCTTGATGAGGCTCTTGAGTTCGCGTTCAAGAGATGTGTATGTGTCGAAATACTCGCGTGTTCCGCGTTTCCGAAAAAGTTTAAACGCGTCGGACTTTTTACGGTTGATCCCACCAGAGCGATGGTGTTTTCTTACGAATTGACGATCGCGGCACCGGTCATGTTTGAGCTTGAAGTGCGCTGTCGACGATGAGATTAGAGAGGAAATTATATTCCTCCAACGGCGGAAGCTCTTCCACTGACGATACTGTATCGTCTATCGCGGATTGGAACTTAGTCCAATCGATGTTACGAGTTAGATCATACGCGACGTTAACGGATTCTGACG